GCATGAAACATCAGACAAACGTTGAGCGCAAGTTTAATATCCTCTAAACAACAAGCGAAATTAGTGTAACAACATTCTCCTCAAATGTAAAGATTGATGGTATAGATTTATGTATGAGATTGAACACCAATAACACATTCTTACAAAAATTTCGAATTTTTCCATATAAATCCGACATTATCGAAGACAACATCTGTCCGTGGATAAATACTTTCAACCTTCTTTTTCTGTATCATGCACGCAGGGTCAAACTCAGAAGGTTCAAAAATAAAAAATATTTTCTAATTCCTGATATGTGAAACGCTAAACACTTTGAATAATATTATCGGTCAGGAAATCAACCATGTAAGTCATAATTATCTATTAATCTTAAATCACACCGTCGTTATTTTGCAAGTGGAGCAAAGATGAAGAGAGAAGCTTTTTTCTACTTAGTTTTCATGTTGTGGGTTGGGAATACGCAGACAAATAAGACGATGGAGCAGCTAGCCGGCATGCTGGAAAGTCACAGTCAATCTCTGCTGCAGTTACAGAGCTACCTCGTGCGTACTGACCAGTTCTGGAACTGGTACTCCAGTAACAGGCAGTAGGTGCAAGTTCTCGCGTTACCCTCATTATTTTGCACTCACTAGAACGAATCCTTTTTGGGAAGTAGGCTTGTGACAATATTACCGGTTACTCATGCTCCGGTTACTCATGTCTGTTCTGCGAACTGGTANGTTGCTAACTATAACTGGTGGATGCTGTCTCTTATACACATCTAGATGTGTATAAGAGACAGGTTAATGTTCTAGAACTAAAAATTAACTATCATCAATTAATTAATCACGCGCCTTCAACGTCTCGACGTAATTGTAAAGCATTTAATTAGTATTGATAGTTAATTGTCTAGATAAAGACAATTAACTATCATCAATTAACTAATTACGCACCTGCAGCGGCTCGAGGTAATTGTAAAGCATTTAATTAGTATTGATAGTTAAGTGTCTAGATCTAGACAATTAACCATCATCAATTAAATAATCACGCGCTTTCAGCGTCTCGAGGTAATTATGAAGAATTTAATTAGTATTGATGGTTTATACGCTATATGTCGTATGTTTTCGTCTGCTTATGTTGGTTGCGTCAATCTATATTTGATACATAATTTTTAATAATTGTTGTATTTCGCACGCGATATGTAAGTGATGTAAGTTTACATACAGTACATATGATATTTGTGGTTTCATTGTGTTATTTGAAAACATCGTTTAAATTAATGCTTGAATGTGGGTTCTCACTTTATTTACATTCTTCTATATACTGAAAGTCATTCTGTATGACGTACCGTATAACAGTAGCTATAGAGATTAGTGTGCGAGTATATATTTTTCGACGTCAGTTGTCAAGTTAGATTAACTTTGGCGCAACACAATAATATAAGTACCGATTTATCCGGACATATTTTGTCCGGAGTTGCCTTATAAATTTTCAAAGACAAATCGTTTGAAATTAAACCCCTGTATCCACTTCGCTAATTCTAGCAGGGGAAAAACTTTGAATTTTTGGGGTTGCTTTACACTTCTAAGGACCTCTTATCAACCATAAAAATGTGGTTAGTTCATTTACTTTATCAATAGAATGAAATATATCTCAAAATTGTCTTCATAAATGACATAATTTGGTAACTAAAATTTATTTTAATTGCAGCAAGTGAGCGGAGGCTTGGCAGAAGCTCCTTAGTTGGCTCAGGAAGAGCGACTGAAAAATCTGGAAGATTCCTTGCTGCNGTACACCAGCCGGTCACTGCCGTACACCAGCCGGTCACTGCCGTACACCAGCCGGTCACTGCCGTACACCAGCCGGTCACTGCCGTACAGCAGCCGGTCACTGCCGTACAGCAGCCGGTCACTGCCGTACAGCAGCCGGTCACTGCCGTACAGCAGCCGGTCACTGCCGTACAGCAGCCAGTCACTGCCGTACAGCAGCCGGTCACTGCCGTACAGCAGCCAGTCACTGCCGTACACGGCTGGCCCAACTAACGACTACATGTGCCACAAGAAAATCCTGACATAAGATTTCGTCTTCGCTCCTGTATAGTATTTGCTTGCATTTAATTGTATTTGTTTGCATTTGCATATTTGTTAGCATTAAAATATATTGATCTCAGTACTCCGTAGCTCATGTTCCGTAAAAAAATCTCAAAAAATTTATTCTACTCATTGCAGCCACAGAATCACTATGTAGTATTTTAGTGTAACATATTATATAAGTAACATTTTAGTTTGACAAGAATATCTCTTGGTAAAACGTTCATGGCATTTGCAAGCACGATTTAAATTTATCAGAGCGCTGGATTGAAATATCGCTGGGAAATTTTTTCATCCCCGTAAGCTTTTCCTGCTTTTACTGAACGTGAACGTCAAACTTAAGGCTTTCACAAAGCAAAGTGCCCAAAATCCTTTTTAAAAATCGCGTTCCGAGGCACAATCGAAATTCCGATGGTTACAAATTATATCCACTATAAAGGATACTCATAAATGCTTATATAGAATCTTAATAAACGTGAAATCTCGGATGGCATTTTTGCCTACGTACAATCTTTTTATGAAGTCACTATCCTTAGTAAAAAGTTAATTTTCGCGCCATTAATTTGATCCCTTTCATGACGAAAAATTTTACGAAATGGCGAAAATTTAATCGCATTTCACAAGTGAACGAACACTATGTACCTTAATATTTGATTTTGAAACAATATTATTAAAATTGAATTAAATTTAGTTTCAATTTAGTTTATGGAGTGGAAGCTGTCTCTTATACACATCTAGATGTGTATAAGAGACAGCGTCAAGCACGTGTAATAATTAATCTCTTTCCTTTTGTGAAGCACTCCAAGCACTTGTAATAAATAATTTCTTTCCTATTACGACGCACTCCGAGCACCTGTAATAATTAGCGTGACCGGATCTGTCAGACGCAAATAAGTCGTTGAAACAAATTGCGTGGCATAAAGACTCCCTGAAGGGCATGGGTGTACTAACGCACCGAATGAGTCATCTTATCTCTCTGCTTATCTGACGCCATATGTTGCGCTGTCCTTGTCCTAACAGTCGCTTGTGTCCTGCAGGAGTTAGGCAGGACGCTCTCTCAACTCCTTGCATGGCTCACGGCCCAGTTCAATTAAGTGCCATCCAAACACACAAATTCCATATATAATATTATTTACCCATTTTTAGCGCATTTTCTCATTTATGGAAAAAATGCACTATTGTGCTCGCCATGTCCGTCCGTCCGTCTGTCTGTCTGTCCGTCGGTGACTTCACGTTTTCGTAGACGAGAAAATGCGCTCTATGGCACTCACTGCAGTGAGTACTGAGTTATTTTTATCTCCATTCAGAGTTCATGAAGTGATTTACATTGGTTAACCATGAAATATTTTGAAACGAGGTGATCCGATCCTAAATGTATAATTTGTAGAAAAAGTAATAGCGCTTGACTTGAATTAAGATATCCCCTCTATACTTTAATAAGGCATCAAACTGTTATCATATCATGCTATAAAATAATTATAAATGTTATAATAAACGATGAATGTAGCAGCCATTTTTGTATACTTAACTTCAATATACACTTCAATTAATCTAATAAATGTGTCTAGTACTGATAAAGCAAATAACGATAAATTTTAAAATGGCATTCATAACTTATGCGAATAAAACATAGTAATGGAATTGGAATTCTCACGCAAAATTAAAAATTCGTTGCATTTTCCCCACTATATCATTCGATTCCAGTCGATTAATTGGATCCTGAATTGCCACCTTTAATGTTGACTATGATGACTTTGATTTACCAACAATGTTGCTAACTATTACTGGTGGATGTACGTTATATATACACAAAGCTTTAATTTCACTGTATACTATAATTGTACTGGCTGGCTTGTTTCTAGTGTAATCGTTGTTAGAACGAAAGAATTCCGTGCGTTAGTAAAGAGACCGCGTTTATAATTAACTGATATTTAACTAACAATAAATTATTATTATTTAATTAAAATTAAAAAATAACTGATAATATGTAACTAATTAGTTATAATTAACTGATATTTTATAATTAATTAATTACAATTAACTGACGCTTTATATCTCGATCATTATCAGCTAGCCCGTTGATCCCATTGAAAGCAGTTCCTTGATTTCAGCGCAATTAATAATTTCATAATTTTTCATAACTTTTTGAGCTTTTATTTAATTTTACGATCGCGTTCATGGAAAACCTAAGAAAGCAAGCTGCAATGTAGCATGTGAAAATTAATAAATATGTTATTCGAAAAGTTGGCAAAAACCTTAATTCTAAATTGGTTTTATTTTTATGGTGAAACAAAATGCAAAGTAGTTGTAACTTTGTCCTCGCTGCCTCATATTCCTCAGACCTTGTCATTCGTCGAAAATGTACGACCGAAATACACGACTGAATAAATAATAGCAAATAAAATTTTCGAGAAAAAAAAACATTACAATCTAGATTTAGTACCTCATTTTAATTAGAACGTCAAATTTTATGCTAATCATGATTGTGTTTTCATTTCCTCAGAAACATCAGACCTTGCGCATCGGCGGGATGCGCAGCTACGCGGTGTACGGAGACCGAAAAATGCATGCGCAAGCGTTTAACAGCTGCCGAGCCCTGGACAGCTCCCTCGTAGTGCCCCATGTGAGTGCATTAGAGTAGTTTGCCATCTAATTTGAAATCATTTTCAATTAAATTTAAATTCTTGTAAATTTAAATGGTCGTAGAAACACAATAGACTTAAATGGAAATGTAAAGCTGAAAAAAGTTATATTCATATTCATTTGTTCCTAGAATCTAACTATTAAGATTACGCCTAAATGGTCCTAAAAACACAATAGATTTAAATGGAAATGTAGAGCTGAAAAAGTTATATTCATATTCATTTGCTCCTTTTTTTTAGTCAACAATTTTGAAAATTTAAATTCGTTTAATTAGTGTTATTACATATTACCATGTTACAAATTATATAATGAGACTATTGTCCAATGATATACATAAATGTACGACATATAATACTATGGATAAAACTGTACTCCCTCTATCACAATTATATTCATGCTCAGGGTAATTCTTAAACACTTAAATCCCATAACATAAATCCGCAGTCCAAGGAAGAAATGGAAACGCTCATCTCCATCATGGGCGACGCTGGAATCTGGATGGCGATTGACGTCATTGGACGCAATGGAAATATACTCACTTCAGGAGGGCCTGCTAACGGAGGAGGTGAGGGATCGAGCAAGAGCAAAGTTGAAGCTCTCGATATCGTCAAATGTGCAGTGTGAAAAGTCTACCGTCTGTCATTTATTTTGATTAACAAACAAAAAGGCGAAACAGATAGTACGCTGCTTCAAATAATATACTTCCATTTTTTATCTTGAATCAACCTCTGTAATAATAATTTAAACCTGTAACAACCGGTATTCTTTGCAAACGAGTCAAGGTCATGACGCAAAGTTCAACATATTCTACAAATGGTTAACAAACATTGATCAAGACAATTAATTCAACTCTACATGCATTTTTCAATAATTCCTTATACTCAAAGAAAGGACTAGAAACATCTTCTGAAAAAATCCCTCTGAAATTCCAAACAACCTCTAAAAAATTCCCTTAGCATCAGCCACAACTTCAATATGTTTTTTTACCGACTAGGTGAATCCTTGCTTTATAGACCTATGATTATGTCTACATTAAGTTAATCGCCAGATTTGAATGAAACTACGGGGAAACATATTATCCTCTAAACATATCAATATTTTTCCTAGGTCAAAAGGTGCAGTATGTCTTATATGCTCCAGGACAGCCGGATAACCTAGCAACATACGAGCAGTGCATGCAGCTCTGGCACAGCGGTTACAACGACCTGGGGCCATACTTTCAAAAAAGTTAAGAGGTCGTAAGTTCATCAGCCAATCATTGACGGCCTTTCAAGCAAAATCCACCAATCATAGACAAGAAAATAGAGCGTAAGTACTTACGTTCACTTAGTGAGTTTTGAAAGTATGGCCCCTGAGCTGCATCTACGAACTGCCGTACGTTTGCCCAGTCGTGTCTACCGTACAGCTGCGTGACGCTGCCTCACCCGGTCTGCATTGCAGACTACGCGTGTTTCAAGAAACTCAAATAAATTTAAATAATGATACGGTATTTCTGTGATACCATATTTCTATGGTACGTATTTTATACATTTGGGCCCATTATGTAATGTAATTATTATTATTATGTAATGTAATTATAATTATGTAATGTAATTATTGGGCCTATTTTATGTAATTCTACATTTACTCAGTAGAATTTCATAAAATACGTGACTGAAATGCGTGCATATTAAATAAAAATTTCGAAAAAAAAAACAAACAATAACATCTAGATCCAGTACCTCACTTTAATTTTGAAAATCTAATTTTATGCTAATTATGACAGTCTTTTCATATCTTCAGAATCATCAGACCTTGTAAACTCATCCCTGATCAGCGGGATGCGCAGCTACACGAAATATTCAGTCGGACAAACGCATGAAGAAGCCCTCAACATCTGCCGATCTCTGGGCAGCTACCTCGTCATTCCTTCAGTATGTGTTCTAAAATACTTGCTAACAATTATTTTCAGTAGAATTTTAACCATGCCGGCATGTGTTGATTTGTTGAGCGCTCTATTGACCTAATTGATTAATCTAATTCCCTCTGCACTAAAGATCGTTTGTCTTAATTCACGTGTTAAAAATAATAAAATCACAAATTAAAATATATATACATAATAAATATACTCAAAATAAACATTCGTTTCTCTGGATTTCCAGCTGCACTAAAGTGCGTTTTGGCTAAATTTGAAACAAAAATTTGGCCTCACATTAAATCGTATGCTTTCAGCCAATCGTATTTTACGTTAACCTTGACTGCCTTACTTCCAAATTTTCTGTCTGCAGTGGCTTAAGAACGCTTAAAAAAATAAAAAAATTAATCAATCAATAACTCATAATAATGTTGTTTTATAGAACGAAATGGAATATTGACGCCATCGGGACCAATGGAAACATAATAAGTTCAGGAAGCCCTGCCGATGGAGGTGGTAAGAGAAAGATTATGTGACATTTACTCACAGATGTTTTTATCTGCTTGTTGTTGGTAGTGCACAAGTGCCGAAGTTCGAAGTATTTCAATTTCTAGACTAATTATTTCACTACATAATATTACATGAGAGAATTTATCCAGAGAAATCACGGCCCATTATTAAACTCCTCAATATGTTGATGATAATAATAATGCTAATAATAATGATAATAATGCAAATAATAATAATATCAATAATAATATTAATATTAATAGAATAGCTTCTTTTCCTGGTGAATCCTTAGCAAAACTGAATTATAGTTAGAATAATGGCTAAATTGTTCATAATCAATGAGATACTGCGTAACAAATTCACATTTATCTGTAGGTCAAGAGGTGCAGTACGTGAAGGATTGGGATTTGCTACTATGCTTTATCATATAGCTCCTGGGCCATCGGATAATCTTGCAACAGTCGAACAGCGCTTGGAGATCTACAGCCAAGGTGTCAATGATCAGGCCTGCAATACTGACCGGCCTTATTCCTGCCAGTCTTGCCGACCATACAGCTGCGTGGCGTTGCCTTGCCTGAACTATCCTGCAGACTACAGGTGTTTCAAGAAACGCAAATAAACTCAATTAATGCTACGGTATTTCTGTGATACCATTTTTCAATGGTATTTCACCTTACGGCTGCGTGGCGTTGCCTCGCCTGAACTATCCTGCAAGCCACATGTGTTTCAAGAAACTCAAATAAACTGAAAGTTATGTCATTTAATCGGATTCACATTACTTCACGTTCAGCTTATTTTTTAAGTTTCGGCAATTGATGCATCATTCATAAGTTTCAAATTCATTCAGATGTAGATTTGCGTTCATACGTCGTGTTTCATTTTCTGAATTTTGCCAAGAGATCTTTCATAATTTGAATGGGGTATAAAATACATAGTATCACGTGTTATACAGTGGACTGGACTTAAGTCTATGGAGAATAGTCTTAATATTTCATTATCTCTTCGTCAATTCTGCAGGCATTTGATCACAGACTGAGAAGAGAATATATAAATTAGGATGTTTAGCATGAAATGGAAGCTATTTTCGCTAAAAAAATTATTTTAAGTTGTTCATTTGTACAGAAATAATTTTGCCAGTTTCAGTTTTCTTCTCACGCAAAACACTTCGTATCTGTGGTTTGCTGAGGTAGTGAGATAATGTTTAGTTAAAGTTTGTGATAAGAGACATAAATGAGTTGAGTAATGAGTAAAGTCTAACTTTGCTTTGCTGATTAGAGGAAGTGCGAATGGTATTCCCTGGTCAAACTTTAATTTGCACTATATGATTTATGGTTTTTCTTTCGAATTATTTGGACAATAAAAGAGAAACTTGTTATATTTTAATATTAAATTATATTAACGCTTTAAAAAATTACTAGTGTCAGTTCACAGTGCAGAAAAAGTGTAGCACTAACAGGATATTTCCAATGTTAATGTATGCTAAGTATCTTCAAGTGTATAGTCAGAATTAAATTACTTGCTACCTTTTTCATTTAATGCAATTGTTTGTTCGTATGATAGCAATAAAGGTCATCCAGTAAAATTCCTGTGGCTTTGAATTAGAGTATTTAGAGCCAGGATTTTCATCATACCAACTTGTTCAAATGAAGTAGTGTCAGGAAGATTATTCACACGTGTTGGGAAGTAGTTCAAAAGAAGAACTTCATGGCACTACGTAATGACGCGTTCATACGTCGTGTTTCATTTTCGGAAATTTGGCAAGCAATCTTTTATAATTTAAAGAGGTTGTCTCCCCTCTAAATTTTAAACTTAAAGGGGGTGTCGCACCATTTCCCAGCTATATGTGTTTGAATCATAAGTTTTATCGTTGGCAAAATTAATGAAAAACTAGTCATTTTTTCATAAATTAAAATAAGAGGTTTCATTCCAATTCCAAAATTGAAAGCTGCATGAGAGTTCCGTGAAGAATAAGGGATAGAAGGAGACTTTAATTGTCTTACTTTAGTTTTGATGTTATTTTTCTGGATTTGGGGAGAAGAAATTCTGAATGATAGGATTCAGGATGAAGTGGATTCGGAGGTAAGGCATCACAGGACTCGGAATAGAAGAATTTCGAATTGCAGGATTTTGTATACCTGGCTAACCAGGGCAATAATAATAATAGTCGAAAAATAATTCAAATTTTTACAAAATTGCATTTAAATTGTGTGTTTTTTATTTATTATAAATTTCTAAGTAGAAATACTTCCTGTTCATATATTTCCTATCATTTATATACGTGACTTCACTTAATAGTTCTTTAGAATCTTTACATGTCAGTTTTCCAAGTTTTAGTAATTTCAATAATGATCCGAATTTTTAAAGAAATTCATGCCCAAAGAAGATGGAGTTTTGTCCGGTTATATCATACTTGGCATCGGACAGGAGATTGAAGCTATATTTTCTTTTGCCCTGGAGCTCAACTTAGTAATTACAGCCCAAGCGGGAGTAAATAGTGACCATCAGTCAATCGTTTCCTGACACAGCCTACATGTCTCTCGCAGGAATTATAAATTTAAACTCTCCCATCACATCATCAGAGCGAATGCAATTCTCTGCCTGAGGTCTAAATTAATTATAATCTTTATTCAATCATTAGTCAGATACAAAATCTTATAAATCAGAAGAACTTTTTGACGGTACAATTCGCACCGCAGAATATTCTTTTAATTCTATTTTACATCGCATAAACAATAGGTATTGATGAAAGAATATTTCACCCGTGACTATTAATTAGATCTTTACATTCGACTTAATTTATCGACATTTTAATGTGAATTTATTTACTAAATTTCTTTATGTCGCAGAGTAAGGTTCACGATTTAAAAAAAAATCCGCACACCGTTTATACAATTCTGTACGCCCAGTTACTGAAATATAATATAACAGAAGATGGCCTACCATCTTATTTATCCCTTATATTTTGAAACGATACAATTTTGCATTAATTATTAAATCGATTAGTTGTTGCAGTACTCCGCCGTATATAAGCGGTAGTCATAGCACTCATCGTTGTCTAACTTGAGGGAGTCACTGGCAGTGACAACGGCTTAAAAATATTGTTCTCATGGTTATTATAAAGTTTAGAATTTAGCAAAATGTAAGAAACAACACTATCCTATATAGTCTTAGAAAAATCTGAACACAGTTAATTAGACATTTATAAAAGTTAGAATTTTAAAAAAATGTTCAGTCCAATTGTCATAGTTCTATGGGCATAGGAGTTTTGCAGTTTACGCTTTTAATTTGAGGAGGTAGAAAGAATTTTCCTATTCAATTAGGTGTTCGCACTATTGCGTTCCCACGTAAAAATTTGTCCTATTTTCGAACAAAAATTACATATGTATTTTGGTAATAATCATCTACGTGTGCACTGTGTACCCAGAAATACAAAATTGACCGTTTGCTAGTTTAGGTTAAAATTCAATAACTAACCGTTGAACTGAAACCATATTGGTAAATGTTGCTACAAAATCGTCTCATCATCATCGGGTGGTTAGTCGGCTTCAGCCAAGCACTACGCACGAAGGCTCTCTTCGAACGAGTCTGTGAAACCTGCGGCAGCAGTTTCCATCAGCGGGCAGAAAGTCGGGTATTTATTATCTCGACAACCACTGCTAAAATAAAATAAGGGCTTGTTAATTTACACTGTAGCAATAAATACCATTCGTTAAACAACACTATTGTTTTATTTGGATACATATATTAATTTTTCAATTATTATTGACAAAATAATACATATAAACTATTATTTATTTTTTAGGATATGAAAAAATCAAATACAAAACATAGCTATTTTTAAATTACCAACTATATATTGGGTAGTCAATGGAAGAACGCTTCAACAAATCTGTCCTCGAAGTCTGTTGAAGACAATTTCGTGACTATACAAGCTATAGAGAAGAAACAATGGTCCTCATTCATTTTTTTCGTCCATTTCAACTAATATTCTTCTCTTAAAAAATTCCTGCTTATGATTTGGCCTCGAATAGTTATTTTTCTTTAGTGAATTAATGCAAAAGCAGTGATAAAATTAAACTTAATCCTGTAGTTGGCATCTCGCTAAATCATGTGTGCAAATTAACTAAATTTTAAATTCCGAAAAATTAATGAATTTCTGTAAGTAGCTGTCAGCATTAATACAATTGAAATTTTTGGATGGTGCTGCTTTTGTAGTTTTCTATGAACCTCAAATGTTATTTACTGTATTATTTTTCGTTCAATTGTTATCAAAAATTTGCTATTTTATCCTAATATAAATGGGATTTTTAGGGTGAAGTTCTCACAATTGTGAATGGTATTTTCCTTTATGTGTCTAGGTCCTCTGTTCAGCCATGTGTGAGCTGACAATCCAAACTGCTTCGGATTTTGCTACTCGTCATGGAACGCTTCGTGCGTACTTCACAGTACGTGTCATGCATATCATGCTGATGAGATATGCTTCACAAATGGCTCGCCCTCGAATAGAACCAAATTTTCATTCTTAAACAAAAATGTACGTAGTTCATCTAAATTATTTAAACAACTTTTGATTGAGATGGTACAACTTCCCCATTCAAATTT